AAGCATGGGGGTGGAAACATCATGCTATGGGGCTGTTTTTCTGCCAAGGGGACAGGACAGAATGAATGGGGCCATGTATCGTGAGATTTTGAGCCAAAACCTCCTTCCATCAGTGAGAACTTTGAAGATGAAACGAGGCTGGGTCTTCCAACATGACAATGATCCAAAACACACCGCCCGGGCAACAAAGGAGTGGCTCCGTAAGAAGCATTTGAAAGTCCTGGAGTGGCCTAGCCAGTCTCCAGACCTCAACCCCATAGAAAATCTGTGGCGGGAGTTGAAAGTCCGTGTTGCTCGGTGACAGCCCCAAAACATCACTGCTCTCGAGAAGATCTGCATGGAGGAATGGGCCAAAATACCAGCTACTGTGTGTGCAAACCTGGTAAAGACCTATAGTAAACGTTTGACCTCTGTTATTGCCAACAAAGGTTATGTTACAAAGTATTGAGTTGTATTTTTGTTATTGACCAAATACTTATTTTCCACCCTACTTTACGAATAAATTCTTTACAAATCCTACCATGCGGATTCATGGATTTTTTTTCACATTCTGTCTCTCACAGTTGAAGTGTACCTCTGGTGCAAATTACTGACCTCTGTCATCATTTTAGGTGGGGGAACTTGCACAATCGGTGGCTGGCTAAATACTTTTTTGCCCCACTGTAAGTACTCTCAGCTCTCTCTGCACCCTTTTCAACTGCTCTTTGTCTCTGGATTTGAAGGCCCTCTTCTTCTGCTTGAGGACGGCTTTAATTTCTGTGGTAATCCATGATTTGTTATTAGAGAAACACCGCACAGTCCTGGTAGGTATGGTATTATCCACACAGAAGTTAATATAGTCCGTAATGCATGTCACAAGGCTGTCGATGTCCTCTCCGTGGTCGTCACAGTTCACCTCCCACACAGTAGACTCAAAACAATCTTTAAGAGCCTCCTCGCTCTCCTCCGACCATCTCTGCACTGTGCGCATGGCTGGTGGCTCCCTGCGCACTAAGGGCTCATACACATGGACAAGGTGCACCAGGGTGTGATCAGATCTGCCCAGGGGAGGTAGAGGTGATGAAATGTATGCCTCTTCAGCACTGGCATACAGTATGTCCAGTGTTTTCTTGTCTCTGGTTGGGCATGTCACATACTGGGTGGGCAGCGTGGAGTCCAGTGAGACATGATTAAAGTCCCCTGATATTAAAAGAAGGGCTCTTGGAGATTGCATTTGCAGTCTGCTGACCACAGAGTGGAGAGGGTCACATGCTGTATCTATGTTGGCTGAAGGGGGGACATACACCCTTATTGCGATAACATGTGAGAATTCCCTGGGGAGGTAGTACACACACATGCTAACGGCTAACAGCTCAATGTTGCAGAGTTCTTCTTTCACAGTGATGTGCCCAGGGTTACACCATCTGTCATTCACAAACACTGCCATCCCGATAGCGTCACGCTCGTGTCCGGAGTTAGCGGTGTTAGCCTGGACTCTGTTAGCATTATGATGCTACATTGCTGATACTCCCTCTGTGACCAGGTTAGCGACGTGAGGTCATCCATCTTAATGGGCAAAGATCTTACGTTTCCGATGATTACAGAAGGGAGAGATGGTCTATAACATCTCCTTCTCGGGTGACGGCGCTCCCTCACAGCACGACACCCCCGTCTTTTCTTCCTCGGCTCACTGGGAATGTCAAGTCTGTCTGCCGGCAGTACTGCTGTGGGACGCAGCACTAACAGCTGATCCCTACTGTAAACAAAGGATTCCTGCAGTGGGTCCCCAAACACGGGTGAAAAAAGTAGAAAAAAACCAAGAAAAATGACCAAGACTAGCACAAAACGGTAGAACATGATTGCAGAGTCTAATTGCTAATACTTTAGTTATAAAAATCCATCCATCCATTCGCTTCTGCTTCTCCTTTTCAGGGTCGCGGGGGGGCGCTGGAGCCTATCCCAGCTGTCATAGGGCGAGAGGCAGGGTACACCCTGGACAGGTCGTCAGTCTGTCGCAGGGCTAAAATAGTTATAAAAATTACGAGAAAAAAAGATGAGAAAGAAAGAAACTCAGAATGAGCAGAGGTGCTGTAACAGGCTGCCACACACGGGGGGCGCCGGAAGTACCTGTGCACCTTATGGTCCCAAAAATACGGTAAGTCAGGCAAACTGACCTCAATGACCTTAAGGTAAATGTCACCAGGATTCAAACTATTCCAATATTTTTAGTAAATGCAGCTACGGTATCAATTTAAAAAGGTGACTTCCTACTAGAGTTATAGCCTTCACAATATTTTCCGAGATTAAAGTTGGATTAAAATGTTCGGATCTCTCGTGTCGTCCTTACATACCTCCACATTGGTGACCCCTGAGGCGAACATGCCGGTAAAAAGAAAAAGCCAGCTCCTGCCTGGAAACATCAGTGGCTGCCGGACTTCCACCTCCACCTATAGCTGAGTTTGCTGTAGCTTTTAAACTACTTGGATCTTTGCCTTCATGATGCCCCTTCATGGTTCGTGTGCATCAAAGTTCAGTTTGCTCTTCGTGGCATTTCATCTGATGACACAAAATACCATCATGTGATCTCATACACTGATCTCAAGGCGCTGCTTGTGCGGCGCTTCTCCCTTTCCAACGTGAAATGGTCCTAGAAACTCCTCCCTCTCTCGGGCCTGGGTGAATGTACTGCTCTTGAGCTCATGGAGAGCATGCTGTCCTTGCTAGGAACATATGATGGATGATTCCTCTTCTTTCAACAGCTGCCAGCTCTCTCAATGCTGTCATTTTCTTCACAACCCTGTTTTACTCGGGGTGCCGAGGCCTTGGTGCATGCTAATTTTGTAACTTCGCGAAACATATTTTAATGTTTGCTTTCTGAGTTTCCCTCACTACCTTTCCCTACTTTCTCAAACACTGTGATGAAGCACGAGGTGGACCTTATCACTCCGGTCGGCCCTCAGTGTTTGTGTGCGCACACCCTGTCTTGACCCTGCTAAACTGTCTGTCGCTCAGGAGGAGTATGCAACTATGGCGCGACTGAGAATTGTGCAGTGTTCGAATAGTCCCTGGACTTCCCCATTAGACGTGGCACCCAAATCTGACGGTCAGTGCAGGCCTTGTAGGAATTTTTGCCATCTAAATAATGTCACGGAAAGCAATTGTTATCCCATTCCGCACATTGAGAATTTTTTTGGCTCATCTCGCGGGGACTTTTTTCATCAATTTTTTCTAAAATTGATTTAGTGCAGGGGTATCACCAGGTTCCTGTGCGTGCTGAGTATGTCCCCAAAACCACCATAATAACTCAGTTCAGCCTTTTCAGGTTTTTGCACATGCCCTTCGGCCTGAGGGGTGCAGCCCAAACCTTCCAGCGTTTGACTAACTGGGTATTACGCGGGCTCTCCTTCGTTTTTGTATATCTAGATAATATCCTGGTGGCCAACAGCTTGGAGGAACAGCACACCTGCGTCAGGTTTCTTGGCGCTTGGCAGCACATGGCCTGATCAATAACTTGTCTAAATGTCAGTTTGGTTTGCCAGTTCTACCGAGATTAAAGTTGCAGTAAAGTATTGGGATCCCTCGTGTCATCCTTACATACATCCTTACCTCCACAACATGAACATTTCAGATGATTTTATTTAAAATTATTATGGCATTTATTTAAAGAAATTATTAACACAAAATTTATTTGTTCTTTTCAACATTCCTGAAATTATTTACAATTTACCATATAGGTCACTTTAGTATTAAATCTAGATGGTACAAAGCACTATATCATTTCCAGAAATGGCCCACTACATTACATATAAATGCAAGGCCTGTTTTGCCTTTCAAATGGAGCTAAGAGAACGTGGTAGAAGGGAAAGTTTACTCCAGTTTTTTTTTCATTTATTGGGAAAGGCAGAGGAAGGTGTTTATGTACACACAAAATATTGTTCTTATTTTGCTGGTTAAAAAAGAAGATACAAAGTGAACTCCCATCCTTTGTGCTCACTTCCTAATTACCTAGAGACACCCAAAAGACAACCGGCCCCTCTCAACAGTTGAGACAAATCATCTGGGAAGTAGGTAAGCAAAGGAGACTAAACATTGAGTAACAAATCCTCATTTCCTCCTAAGATGGCAGCAACTCTTTCATGAGGAATAACTCTTAACAATTCCCTGTACCACAAAGTAACAGTGGGAGGGTTATCCTTAACCCAGTTAATAAGAATACATTTCCAGTCCAGCAACAATAGTTTATCATCTAGTTTATGCTGCAAATAAGTTAATGCTGATTCTTTTGAAGGTAAACCAAGCATAAAAAATCCAGGGTCCCTTTAGGTCCGATTCGTAAAAATATTGCTGAGTTCTTGAGATATGGAACTTCAAAATCTTTTGATTAGTTTAAATTCCCAGAAGTAATGGGAAAAGGTACCAGTCTGTATTTGACATTTGATACAAAAAGGGGATACATGCGGTGTAATCTCATGCAAAACATTAGGAGCTATATATAGGCGGTGTAAAATTTTGTATTGGGTTTAAGCAAGCGGTTGCAAGTAAAAGTAGATCTAGCTATGATAATGGCTCCTTTCCAATACTCCTAAGTATATTCATTATTAAGATCTCTCTCCCATTTATGAATAGCACTCATTGTACAGCGTGGAACACATGGTTATTTCAAAGGATTTACTGCATCTTGCCTGTAATGGTGTTAGAGACTGATAAGCAGGCCAGAGTCTGTTTTTTTATCTTAAATTTTGTTGCATTTGTGTGCAGGTCTATAACTACTCACTCACATCCATTTCTTTCAGCAGCATAAAACATATCTTGCAGTGTACTGTAATGTTAATTATAAATCCTTTATCAGACAAAAATTACATTTAAATATGCATATACCCAGACTCTGTTATTTAATGTGTCACAGAATTGTAAGTGACTCGTAATGTCTACTAATGTAATATAAATGTAATAATAATAACAATAATGTAAACACAAAAATGGCAACATAATATAAATTGTTACTGATTTTTTTTTTACTTTTAGCTTGTAGTTTTGCCCATGACATGTTTCTTGGTATTCTTTTCTGGCTTAAGTAATATTATGTAACACTTGGGTGCAAAAATACAAATTAATAAGCCAAAAGCTGAAGACAAAATTGCAAATATTTCTACAGCTACAGTGAACTTTCCAGGAGAACTGATGTATGCTGGGATGAATGTAATCCACACAGCACAGAATATCAGCAGGCTGAATGTGATCAATTTGGCTTCATTGAAATTATCAGGAAGTTTTCTTGCCATGAATGCAAGGATCAAACAAATGACTGCAAGGATCCCTATGTATCCCAACACTGCATAAAAAGCAGCCTGAGATCCTGTTTTACATTCCAGAACAATCATCCTATTGCTGTATGTGAACAACATATGTGGGTAAGGTGGGTTTAAAGTCAGCCATAATGCACATATTACCACTTGAATCAAAGTGCAGGAGCAAATGATGATTCTTTGTTGTGCATGACCAAACTTTCCAGCAATGTTGTTGCCAGGAAATGTGGCTTTGAAGGCTGTGACAACAACAATGGTTTTTCCCAAGGCACAGGAAATGCAAAGGGCAAATGTCACACCAAAAGTGGTGTGGCGCAGCATGCATGTCCAGACTGTTGGTTGACCAAGAAAAGTGAGAGGACAGAGAAAACACAGAAAAAGAGAAAACAATAAGAAAGAGCTCAGCTCAAAGTTGCTGGCTTTTATCACAGGAGTTTCTCTGTAGTTGATAAAAACCACCATTGTGGCAAGGGAGAGAGAGGCCCCTAACAGGGATACAAGTGTTAGAGCTATTCCCATGGGCTCATGATATTTCAGGAACTCAATAGTTCTAGGAATGCAATCATCTTTTCTCTCATTGGACCAGTATTCCTTTGGACAAGGTGTGCAGTCTGCTGCACCTGTTGAGGATAAATAGAAAGGGTCAGTGGTGTATCTAGATGTACATTTGGGATAATAATAAATTAAAAATCTACTTTAAAAAAGCATATGATGCAATAAGACATTAATATTTTAAATATTAGCTATATGTAGACACTAAACATGTCATGTTATAATGTACACGTTCAACGTTTACAGGATATACACTCTTGATATGTTTCTGTCTACCTGTTGAGTTGGCTACAGTTCCATCAGCACAGGGTACACAGTCAAAACAACATATAGGTTTTCCCTGAATTTGAGCTTTTCTGGTTCCAACTGGGCAAACATTAGAACACACCGATGTGGGCATCTGTAGCAAAAGAAATATTTAAGTATTGTAGAGGTAAATGATTATGTGTTAACAAGAGAATAATAAAGGATGAGATACTAAAAGTGTACTGCATGTAAAAATAGAGAGACATCATGATTACTTTTTTCCCTGTCCTCCACACTATCTTTTCCTCCTCGATGCTGAGCTTGTAATCACCATTTGCAGCAAATGTCAAATGACCAAGTGTCACATGTTGCACTTTTCCATTTATCAACTGCCAGTTAATGACATCATAAGAAGCAGGAGGATCGCCATTCTCATCAAAAAACACCTCATCACCAAACTGATTTGTGAAATTCACCTTTTGTAACTTTTTACTGACCTAGAAAGGAAAGGATTATGTATTAGGTATGTATAAACGTTCAATTATTGGTTTTGTTTAAACAATTTGAACTATTGTAACTTTCAGTTAAACAATTTCTCACCTCCTTGGGCTTTATTTCTGACAGGTTTAAACATCGCTTTACTGTTTGTGCTCCAACTGGTTGGCAGAATACCAGCTGATGCAGAGCATGTGCAATAGCATAAACTGCTTTATAGACATTATAGGTCACTCTGAGCTCTGTGACATTGAAGAAATCATGCTCGGAATTCATTAATGTTTCATTGCCTGTACATCTTTTGGTTGTGTCCTCAGTAGCTGCATGTACCCCTTGCAAAACAGGTGTGCAGCCCACCATAATCTCCCAGAAATCCTTCACAAAAGGTGCATTGGGATCTGTATAAGGACTAATACTTGTAAGAAAGTGTTTAAGTTTAGGAATAGCCATCTTCTGCATTACAAATCCCACTGTTCCGCCAAAGGATCTATGTATTTCAGGTGTGGATGGTCGAGGTGCTGTTATCCAAGCCACACAAGAAATCCACTGAATTCCTGTAATGTTCTGGTTCACAATCTCTTGCATCAAAGGATAAAAGTCACCCTCAGAAGAAAAAGCCAAAATTACTTTGACAGATGACTGTTTTATTATTTCCACAACTTCTAGAAATTTATCTCTTGTGTACGTGCGTAGAACTGATGCAACAAAAGCAACACAAACCCCAAACTTTTCAACCTCCTCCTTAAAGGCAAGAATTCCATTACGTCCATAATCATTGTCTGCCTGTATGGCTCCAATCCACTGCCATCCAAAATGTTTGACCAGTGCAGCCAAAGCTTTTGCCTGGAAATAGTCGCTGGGGATTGTTCTAAAAAATGTAGGATATTTAGTTCTGTCACTCAGGCAAGCACACGTTGAGAAGTAGCTGATCTATAAAAGAGAAAAGAACACTGAAACAGTGTGCATGCAACGATACATCATACAATGCCAAAACATCAAATATCACTTAGCATCATAAAACATACAACTTTATCTCTTACTATTGGCATATGAAATGGTCCAAGAATTCCAGCAGCAGCTATTGACTGAGATGACCCAGACTCTGCTATGAGGGCAGATATAGCTGGAGGGCAATGAGAAGTCGCACTTGCCTCCTCTGCTCCACTAGCCAGCGTTAGAGCAGCACGTAAAGTATTTGTAGGAGATGCACAAGAGTTAAGGATCCTATAGCCAAGAGATATGTTTGGAAGCAGAGCAGGATCGTTGTTGATTTCTTCAATGGCAAATATCATTGCCTGTGTCCATCGATAAATTCGCAGGTCAAATCTAAGGACATTTTAGTGATTGATACAAGTCATAAAGTAACCCAGCCATTGCTTCCCATGTATGTAAAGTACAATGTCAAGAATGAAAACACAAATAAACATACATGCATGACAAATGAAAAAGCCACTTGTGGTAACTCATACCCTTCACACTGCACTTTAGGTGGCTCCTTGTCAAATGTATAAGTGCTGAGTGTCTCTTTGTTTAAAACTGGGAAGATTCCTCCGATCATTATGTCACCTTCCTTAAACAAACTTGGCATATCAAACCTGCCAAAAAGTTCACAGCCAGATACTGTGTCTGTGCTGAGAACACACAGAAATAGGAGGATACCTCTTTGCATGTTGCACTGCATTGCCATATAGGCATGAGAGCACAGTTCTTATAACAACAGTATTACATGTAGTCAATGTGCTATAATTTCCCTAAGGCCTCAGTGATCTTAGATTGGCAAACTTGGAATCAGGAAATTAATGCTCTACACGTATTGTTAAATGTCAGTAAACTATCTTGTATCGAAAAGTGTCTAAAACTACTTTTGCAATGCACATTAATCATAAAGAAATTTGAAAGGGACTTTAGAAAACTCTTTAGCTAGGTAATGTACAAGTTATCCATAGTCTTTCAGTTTTTCAGTTTTTCACAGACAGGGTAAATACAATTATTGCCCCTATAAGTAGATTAATTTAGCTTTAAATGATGAATTATTCGTTTTGATTTTGCTTTTTAAAAGTTAAATTGCATTACATTTTTGTTTTTGTACACAAAACTATCTATCTATCTATCTATCTATCTATCTATCTACATACATGTATGTGTGTGTGTGTGTGTATGTGCGTGTGTGTGTCTATACTGCATGAAAAAAAATCTGTCGTGATTCATTGGCAGCATTATTATTAAATTACAATTTTGTGTAATCTATACCTTTCAGTTGCAGTGCCAATTCCTTGTCTCATAACAGATCTTAAAGGCAGCGATAAACGATTTCAATAGATATATTTAATAATAATAGCAATAGCAACTGGACAGGCAAAACAGAGAAGCAAAAAAGTTCTTTTTTTTTCTTTAGATGGACTTATTCATCATATAATGAATTTTGAGGTTTGATGTGTTGCTTAGTAACATGATCACATGATTTACACATATTTTTAATATAAAGGCTGCTGTAAAATCAGCCAGAACGATCTAGATGTGAGTAACACATACACACACACATATATATATATATATATATATATATATATATATATATATATATATATGTGTGTGTGTGTGTGTGTGTGTGTGTGTGTGTGTGTGTGTGTGTGTGTGTGTATAGGGAACTGTGTAATTACATAAAAGATGAACAAATACTAAAGTAGGGGTGGGTTTTTATAATCGATTTATTGATTAAAATCGATTCTGGCTTGGATAACATAAAATCGATTCATTAAAATCCTGAATCGATTTTTTAATATAAATTTATTTTGCCCGAAATGCCAGAATCTCAGGTGAAATCTCACAAAATTTCAACCACCACCAAACAGCTAAGACAGTAAATGAGAGCAGGAACACGGATTCTGCACAAAGACTTAAACACACAGCGTGACCCGCGGATCAGAATCAGTTAGATGTTGCCTTTCTCACGGTCGGGGCTGAAAGCCGACAGTTTGCTGATTCTGATCTGTCGGCGGGTCCACGCTTTGTGTTCACGCCCTTTATGCGCTGATTCTAAAGCTGTTAGTTTGAATTCTCTCCAAACAATATTGACCGAACCAGCAGCAAAAGAAGATCCAAACTATGCTTCACATAAACATTGTCATGTATTCACTCTTAATTTTACTGTTTTGCTTCGACCACGATGCACAGCTCTCTCTCTCTCTCTCTCTCTCTCTCACTCTCTGTACTTCAAGAACAGTTTCCCGTCTAAAAATCTGTTTTCTTCATTATTCGCTTACTTGTTACGCACAAGACTACCGTTGTTTACAGCGCTGTCGGCCGACGTTTTTTTTTTTTTTTTCGTTTTATATACTTCCATCCATCCATCTTCATCCGCTTTGTCCGGGGCCGGGTCGCAGGGGCAGCAGCCTAAGCAAAGCAAACGAGATCCTTATGGAAAGGACACCGAGGGAACAGTTTACCCTGCCCGGGATAGGGTTACCGGGGCCCCGCCCTGGAGCCAGGCCCGGGGAGGGTGCCCGAGGGCGAGCGTCTGGTGGCCGGGCCTTAGTCCATGGGGTCCGGCCGGGCACAGCCCGAAGAGGAGACATGGGCCCATCCTCCCGCAGGCCCACCACCCGCAGGAGGCGCCATAGGGGTCGGGTGCATTGTGTGCGTTTTATATACTTCCGAAAAGAAAACCTAATTTCTGCCGTTCAATACTGAACAAATTTAAACTTTTTAAAATTATGCAAAATGCAAAATGCTTAGCCCTGTCTCTAATAAAACCGCTGTAACTTCAGATTACAATCATGTGTTGATTAATGGTTTTCTTTCGTTTTTGATGTACTGCAGAATATTTTTATAAAATCCCAGGCCAGGAAAATCACCTTCATGTTGACACAAAGGCATCTGCTGTGATGCTCACACCTTTGATAAAGTCTTGCGTGTGTCAGCTTCCTTTTTATAGATACAAAAATATGTAAATGTACTGATGTGAATTATAATATTTCTGTCAAAATTTCCCAGATTCAAATTGAATAGAATCGAATTAAATTGAATCGTGGATCGAATCGATTCGGGACCTTGTGAATCGGAATTGAATCGATTCTCGAAATCAGTGACGATACCCAGCCCTATACTAAAGAGTCGAATGGGTTGTGGATGGGATCTTTAAATGGGGCAGATTATGTTACAGCTGAGGAGCTGAAAGAGTTAAATCCCATCAAACGTTTAAAACCACTTGAAAAATGGCAAAAACTCATGCAATTTCTTGAAAACAACACTTAAACTGAAACATGTTGTTTTACAGCTTATTAAAAGCTTAGGACCATACCTCCAAAAAAAACCACACCCACCCCCCCAAAACAGAAAGTTCCAAACAAGAACTCAGTAATGAGTAACTCCACTGTTATTGTTTTCACTTAATAAAATGTGTTGCAGCATGCTTGATGCAAGCATTTTCATGAGGTGAGTGGGGGTTCTGTGGCGTTTAAGGACACTAGGCCTTTGAAGACATTTTTTGTTTTTGAAGCCCTTCAGTCTCAGATACCAGCTGATGTTTATGGGGCTCCAATCGGCACCCCTTTTGATCAGGACTGTATAATAACTAAGAATTCAATTGCACAATTTTTATGGATCAATTTACAACAATCCTACAAATTATTCATAGTTCACCATGTGGGCTACTTTATCATGATATCCAGATGACACATTACTAAAGTCACTTCATCCTTTCCAAAAATGGCCCACATTTACAATTTTACATGGACCAGTTGATGGTCACAGTAAATTTTTGAGCAAATAAATAACATAGAGAGAGTTTTTGAGGTTTTCTTTTACTTATATTTCAGTTTCTGCCTAAACCTATTTTGCTGTTCAGAAGCTCAAAGAGCATCCACTTGGGTTTATTTATTTAGGAAAAAAAGAGGAAGGTGTGTAATTAGGGAAATTTTATTCAACCGCCAACTAGAAGTCGCACAATATTTGCAGCAGGGCTTTAATGAATATTTACTTATACAAAAGTAAATGTAATTTCATTTCATTTCAGGGAAAAACAACCTCTAAAAACAACAACAACAACAAAAAAAAAAAACGCTTTAGCTCCATGGTGTTTAAATTACCACAGTTTTTCACTTTTCAAGGTCACAGACAGGGGATATACAATTATTGATAGTATAAGTGGAGTAATCTTGCTTTAAATTATGATTTATTCTTTTTCCATCTGATTTTTCAAAGTTACATTGCATTACATTTTTAATGTTGTACACAAAAGCCTATTTCTCTCCATCACAAGCTATCTATTTATCTATCTATTTATATACATCCATACATGTGTTTGTGGAGGGGGGTGTATGTCTATATTACATGAAAAACAGCACGATAAGATAAGATGAGACTTTATTGATCCGATGGCAGGGAAATTTGTGCGTTATGGTGGGGACTATGAAGAATGCATTGCAATGTCTGAGCTCTCAATCAATCTTTCTTCTCTTTAAAACTGGCCATGATCTAGATGTGTCTAAAATATCCCCAATGTATATATTTAACGAAAGGCCGTATATACAACATATATGTTACATATATTGCTACATTGATAGTGTTACTAAGTTACAGGACATTGAAATACTTATAGCTGTACTAGTGAAATATAGCTTATGTAAATCAAAACATAAATGGCAACATCACTGACCCTTTTTTCACCACTGACCCAGCTGTGGTTCCATTTTTTTTAGAGGTGCTTTTAAATGAAGTAACTTTGCTACTGTTTGTGCTAGAGACAAAATTGAAATGATTTCATTAAAAAAAGAAAACAAGCTTTTTAATAAAAAACATATGTGGTGTTTCGTGTTAGTACAAAGCATACACAAGGTATTGTTGTCCAAACACAGACAACAAAATTAGCTCTGCCTAGATTTTACCATGTGTGCTTTACATTAAAATGACTTGTTAACCACTTATGCTATCAAGTCATCCATCCACTCGCTTCCACTTATCCTTTTCAGGGTCGCGGGGGGTGCTGGAGCCTATCCCAGCTGTCATAGGGCGAGAGGCAAGGTACACCCTGGACAGGGTGTACCTTACATTTACTCCTGCATTCACACCTAGTGGCTATTTAGATTTTCCAATTAACCTATCCCCACAAAGTGCATGTCTTTGGACTGTGGGAGGAAGCCGGTGCACCTGGGGAGAACCCACGGGGAGAACATGCAACTCCACACAGAAACACCCTGTCCTGATGGTAGAATTGAAGGATCATCTTGCTGTGAGGCAACAATGATAAACACAATGCCACCGTGCTCTGAATTATTTTGTAATTTTACACCCAAAATTAGAAGACAACTCCAGGCGGCCTGTAGGATACTTGGTTTATAAAGGTTTAACATAGAACAATATCATGTTTCTTTACTTTATAATTTTTCCCATAACCCATTTCTTGGTATTTTTTTCTGGCTTAAGAAATATTATGTAACACTTGGGTGCAAAAATACAAATTAATAAGCCAAATGCTGAAGACAAAATTGCAAATATTTCCACAGCTACAGTGAACTTTCCAGGAGAGCTGATGTATGCTGGGATGAAGGTAATCCACACAGCACAGAATATCAGCAGGCTGAATGTGATCAATTTGGCTTCATTGAAATTATCAGGAAGTTTTCTTGCCATAAATGCCAGGATCAAACAAATGATTGCAAGGATCCCTATGTATCCCAACACTGCATAAAAAGCAAACTCAGAGCCTGTGTTACATTCCAGAACAATCATCCTATTGCTGTATGTGAACAACGTATGTGGGTAAGGTGGGCTTAAAGTCAGCCACAACACACATGTTATTAGTTGAATCAAAGTGCAGGAGCAAACAATGATTCTTTGTTGTGCGTGACCAAACTGTCCAGTAATTTTATTGCCAGGAAATGTGGCTTTGAAGGCTGTGACAACAACAATGGTTTTTCCCAAGACACAGGAAATGCAAAGGGCAAATGTCACACCAAAAGTGGTGTGGCGCAGCATGCATGTCCAGACTGTTGGCATACCAATGAAAGTGAGAGGACAGAGAAAACACAGAAAAAGAGAAAACAATAAGAAAGAGCTCAGCTCAAAGTTGCTGGCTTTTATCACAGGAGTTTCTCTGTAGTTGATAAAAACCACCATTGTCGCCAAGGAGAGAGAGGCCCCTAACAGGGATACAAGTGTTAGAGCTATTCCCATGGGCTCATGATATTTCAGGAACTCAATAGTTCTAGGAATGCAATCATCTTTTCTCTCATTGGACCAGTATTCCTTTGGACAAGGTGTGCAGTCTGCTGCACCTGTTGATGATAAACAGAAAGGGCGAATAATGAATTGAGAGACCGTGTTAGTCAAAGATTTAACTTCCTTGACAGAAAAAGCAGTGAAATTAATTAGAAATCAAGATGATGCCCTACCACATTAATATTTTAAATATTACTTATTTGTATACACTAAATATGTGATATTATACTGAGTATGCTCGATTTGATAAGACATATACACTTCATATATTGGTCTACTTGTCTACCTGTTGAGTTGGCTATAGTTCCATCAGCACAGGATACACAGTGAAAACAACAAATTGGTTTTCCATTAATCTGAGCTTTTCTGGTACCAGATGGGCAAATATTAGAACACAGTGATGTGGGGACCTGTGGCAAAAGAAATGTTTAAGTATTGTAGCAATGATAAATAAGTGTTGAAATGATCTTACTGCCACAATTCAAATAAAGTTGAGATACTAAAAGTGTACTGCATGGGAAAAAAAGAGACATCAGAATTACTGTTTTTCCTGTCCTCCACACGATCTTCTCCTCCTGGACATTGAGTTTGTAATTGCCGTTTGCAGCAGATGCAAAATGACCAAGTGTCACATGTTGCACTTTTCCATTTATCAACTGCCAGTTAATGATATCATAAGAAGCAGGAGGATCGCCATTCTCATCAAAAAACACCTCATCCCCAAACTGATTTGTGAAATTCACCCTTTGTAAGCTTTTACTGACCTAGAAAGGAAAGGATTATTTATCAGCTTTTTATGAGCTTCTTCTTCAGTCAGAAGAATTGTAACTTTCAATTGCACCATTTCTCACATCCTTGGGCTGAATTTCTGAAAGATTCAAACATCGCTTTATTGTTTGTGCTCCAACTGGTTGGCAAAATACCAGCTGATGCAGAGCATGTGCAATAGCATAAACTGCTTTATAGACATTATAGGTCACTCTGAGCTCTGTGACATTGAAGAAAACATGCTCGGAATTCATTAATGTTTCATTGCCTGTACATCTTTTGGTTGTGTCATCAGTACTTGTGCGTGCTCCTGGTAAAACGGGCATGCAACCCACGATAATCTCCCAGAAATCCTTCACGAAAGGTGCATGTGGATCTGTATAAGGACTAATACTTGTAAGAAAGTGTTTGAAATTTGGAATAGCCATCTTCTGCACAACAAATCCGAGGGCGCCACCAAAAGCTGTGTATATTTCAGGTGTGGATGGTCGAGATGCTGTTATCCAGGCCTCACTTGCGATCCACTGAATTCCTGTAATGTTCTGGTTCACAATTTCTTTCATCAAAGGATAAAAGTCACCTTCAGGTACAAAAGCCAAAATTACTTTGACAGTTGACTGTTTTATTATTTCCACAACTTTCAAAAATCTGTCTTTAGTGTATGTACGTAGAATTGTACCCACAAAAGCAATGCAAATCCCAAATTTTTCAACCTCCTCTTTAAAAGCAAGAATTCCATTACGTCCATAATCATTGTCTGACTGTATGGCTCCAATCCACTGCCATCCAAAATGTTTGACCAGTGCGGCCAAAGCTTTTGCCTGGAAATAGTCGCTGGGGATTGTTCTAAAAAATGTAGGATATTTAGTTCTGTCACTCAGACAAGCACACGTTGAGAAGTAGCTGATCTATAAAAGAGAAAAGAACACTGAAACAGTGTGCATGCAACAATACATCATACAATGCCAAAATATCACATATATCACATGGCATAAAACATACAGTTTTATCTCTTTTACTATTTGCACGCAGCATCATAAAACATATAATTGTATCTTATTGTCTAGTTATCTCTTACTATTGGCATATGAAATGGTCCAAGAATTCCAGCCACAGCTATTGACTGAGATGACCCAGATTCTGCTATGAGAGCAGATATAGCTGGAGGGCAATGAGAAGATACATCTACCTCCTCTACTCCACTAGCCAGCGTTAGTGCAGCACGTAAAGCATTTGTTGGAGATGCACAAGAGTTAAGGATCCTATAGCCAAGAGATATGTTTGGAAGCAGAGCAGGATCGTTGTTGATTTCTTCAATGGCAAATATCATTGCCTGTGTCCATCGAAAAACTCTCAGGTCAAACCTAAAGACATTTCAGTGATTGATACAAGTCATAAAGTAACCAAGCTTTTGCTTTACATGTATGTACACTACAATCTCAAGAATTAAAACACAAATAAACATACATGCATGACAAATGAACAAAAAAGTTTGTGTTAAATCATACCCTTCACACTGCACTTTAGGCAGCTCCTTATCAAATGTAGAAGTGCTGAGTATTTCTTTGATCAAAATTGGGAAGATTCCTCCGATCATTATGTCACCTTCCTTAAAAAAACTTGGCACATCAAACCTGCCAAACGGTTCACAGCCAGATACTGTGTTCATGGTGAGGATACAGAGGAATAAGATGATACCTGTTTTCATGTTTGTGCTCTATTATCATATATGCATGAGAGCACAGTTCTTATAACGACAGTATTAGATATAGTCAGACATTCTCTCATTTCCCAAAGGGCACAGTGATTTCAGATTGGTAAGCTTGAAACAACAAGGAAAATAATTGCTCTACTCATTATATATTTTCAAATGTCAGTAATCTATTTTGTCTGTTGTCAGTAAAAATTCACATTTCTTCTATACAGACTTCCACATATAACCTGTAGATGACCAAGAGTTTGATGTCAAGAGTTTTGTGTTTAGGACTACAGTATACATTTGAGGTTGGTGAGAATAATATATGTTGTGTCTCCTCAAGAAAGTGACAGTCATTTCTTCCACAACAGTTTATTGTGGAAGCTATTGATGTGAAATGCCTGCAAAGCACAGCACTGGCTTTTCAGTAATTAAGATATTAATTGCTGCATAACACTGCATGCATGATTAAACTAATTATGCATATTCATTACTTTAAAAACAGGCCTGCTAAAATTATTATATAGTATCCTGAATTTTTTTAACAAGATTATCATGTTGATGACTGTAGCCACGCATGTCATTCCATTGCAAGAATGTCTGCATTTGTTTATATTCTTGACTGTGTGATACAACACTTTTCATTTCTACACTCTTGTTGTTTGTGTTGGGTGCTGAAAAAACTTTGAAAAAACTCATTTCTAATTTTAATTTTTACAGTACGACACATGGCTGTGTTGTGCGGCCTTACTTGTTCGTTAGATCTACCCTTCTTTAGAAAATTTTGACCACTTTTAGAGACATTTCTCATCACGATACATTAATAGGGATGGGAATTGATTAGAATTTAATGATTCTGATTACATTATTGATATAATTTGTCGGCTGGATTCCTTACCAATTCTCTTATTGATTCTCATTGGCTTTGCTTTGAGACTCAATTAAAAGGGTTTTTAATGACATCCTTCTGGCATGTGATTCTGGTAACCATGTTGTTCTTGTCTTGCTTGACCTAACTGCTGCCTTTGACACCGTAGACCACAATATTCTAATTTCTCGATTACATGATGTAGTGGGTATTGGTGGCACTGCACTTAATTGGTTTAGGTCTTATTTGTCAGATAGAACTTTCTCTGTCAGCCTTCTCGGTTACGAATCGTCTTCTGCTCCTCTGTCATGCGGCGTCCCACAGGGCTCAATTTTAGGGCCACTGCTCTTTTCACTGTATCTATTGCCTCTGGGTTCTATCCTTAGAAGGCATGGGATCACATTTCATTGTCATGCCAATGACTGCCAAATTTATTTGTCACTAAAGCAGAAGGATGTCATCACCATAAAACCTCTAGATGACATTAAAGCATGGCTGGCTTTAAACTTTTTAAATTTTAATGAAAAGAAAACAGACGTGTTGGTGTCTGGACCCAGTGGTCCTTGTGAGTCCTCCTCTGTTGTTTTAGGATCCCTGGAATTCTATTTTAAATCTGTTGTTACTGACCTTGGTTTTAAGTTGGACAGTGATTTTAAATTGGTGAAGTCCAGAGCAGTGGTGAAGTCCAGTTTTTATCATTTAAGGCGACTGGCAAGAGTAAAATCTTTTCTTTTGAGGCAGCACCTTGAAACACTGATCCATGCTTTTATTTCTTCCCGCCTGGACTACTGTAACTCACTTTATGTGGGGGTCAGTCAGTCATTGCTCTCACGTCTGCAGCTGGTTCAAAATGCAGCTGCACGACTCCTAACAGGAACTCGAAAAAGAGAGCATATAACCCCTGTGCTGGCCTCTCTGCACTGGCTGCCTGTGTCTTTTAGAGTCAATTTTAAAATTCTTATGTTTGTTTTTAAATGCCTTCACAGTCTTGCCCCGCCTTACCTCTCTGAGCTTCTTCATCCCCACATACCCTGTCGGTCTCTCAGGTCAGCTGACCAGCTGCTCCTGGAGGTACCGAGATCCAGGAGGAAGCTCAGAGGGGACAGGGCCTTCTCTATTGTGGCTCCAAAATTATGGAATAATTTGCCCATGCATGTTAGAGAGGCCCCTTCACTGTCCACTTTTAAATCACGTCTTAAAACCCACTTTTATTCCTTGGCTTTTAACCTCAGTGAGAGTTAGTTTTCTCTTTTAATTGAAGTAGTTATTTAATTAATGATTTCACTCTTCTTTTATTTGTTTTTTATTTATATCTCATGTAATTTTATTTTACAGTTCCAATGTACAGCATTTTGTGTCAGCTGTGGTTGTTTTAAAGTGCTTTATAAATAAAGTTGATGATGATGATGATGATTGTTGTTAATAATAAATTAATTAAAGCAACAAAACAACCTGAAGAGCCGGTTGGGAGCCGAAAGAGCCGGCTCTTTTTAGTGAGCCGAGCTGAAAGAGCCGGTTCTCTAAAAAGAGCCGGAAATCCCATCACTACAGTGGATGCATATGTTTGAGTGTAACCCCCATTTGGAACATGCTTTGTCCTGTATAGTGTTTATAGAGAGTTTTGTATTATATACGTTGTAAGTTGGGGCCTTTAGTCTTTTTGCAGGTCCCATCAAGAAGATGGCTAATGAAGAAGAATCTAATATGATGGCATGGCCATGTCAGTGCTCTGTCATTCTCCTTTTCAGACTCTCATTCGTGCAACCCACCCCCTTCCCATCTCCACCTCAACTGAGTCATTCAGAGCTCCATCAAGTCTACATCTTTACCATCACCAGTGTTCAAACTCCAGAAGATCATGCCCTATATCCTATTGCTGCTAGGATTCTGTTCTGTTAAACCCCAAGATGTGTCAAAGCTGCAGATTCTAAATGAGTGCTTAGAATCCATCAAAGGTTGGATGGCTGACAACTTCCTCCAACTTAATGAAGAAAAGACTGAAGTCCTTGTATGTGGTCCTGACAGACATGTACCTATGATAATGAATGCTCTTGGTCCTCTTTCAACATTTGTGAAATCATCTATCGGGAACCTAGGGGTAATTTGTGACTCTGCTCTTACTTTGGATGTTCACTCAAATCTCTGGTTTGGTCTTGCTTCTAACATTTAAGAAACATTTCTAAATTAAGTCCTATTGTATGGACATTGTTATTGCATATTCATTCATTTCAGTTTGTACTAGTTTGGACTACTGTAACTCATTGTTCACTTGTCTAAGCAAGGGCTCCCTGGAGCGTCTGCAAAGTGTCCAAAATGCTGCAGAAAGGCTTCTGACCAAAACATCTAAGTACTCTCATGTGACACTGTTGCTACTACAGCTCCATTGGCTCCCCGTTGAATTCAGAGTGCATTTTAAGATTCTGGTTCTGAGCTTTAAAGCTCTTCATGGACAATCACCAGCCTACATTACTAAACTTTTACAGCCCTATGTCCCTAGGAGGTCCCTGAGATCATGTGATCAGTGCCTACTTGTTATTCCGCATACAAGGCTGAGAACCAAGGGAGATAGAGCTATTGCCACTGTAGCCCCCAGACTGTGGAACTCTCTTCGTCTGAGTTTAAGATCTGTGGACTCATTTAAAAACAACTAAAAACGCATCTTTTTAGAATTGCATTTTGTTAACTTTTGTCTATTTCTGTTTTATACTCTGTCATCCCGTTGTGGAGCACTTTGTGATCGTTTTATCTAGAAAGGTGCTTTAAAAATAACATTTTACTTTACTTACTTTAATTTACTTCTACCACGATGGGTCATCTGAGTCTAATCACCCAATTCAATTAATTTCAATAAACTTCAATTCAGTTCAATTTTATTTACTGTATTTTCCGCACTATAAGGCGCACTTAAAATCCTTTAATTTTTTTCAAAAATTGACAGTGCGCCTTATAATCCGGTGCGCCTTATGTATGAATTCTGGTTGTGCTTACTGATCTCGAACTGATTTTTTGTGGTACATGGCGCTCAAAAATATGTCAAAAAATGTTTTAGTACGACTTTGGTAAGCTACGAACCACACCGCTTGATGGATTGTCGGAGCATTACGTCTACCGTAGTCAAGAGCCTCGCAGAGTAATCTGGGTCCAAAACTCCATCCACTTCAGGCCCAAAGTCAAACGTACACTGCAGTATCACTGAGAGTTAAAAACTCTAAATTCTTTCATCTTTGATAAAATGATGAACGTTGCTGCTTTGCCAGGTGTAACAATTGAGTTTAACATCCAGGCATCAATGAAAACAGAATTTATTAAATTTCAGTTAGAAGTTAGCTCGCTAGCTTCAACCTAAACATGATATACTATGTTCTGACTGAGAGATTAGAAGGTACAGCTCTGCTATCACTTCCAACATAAATGAAGACAGAAAACTAAACAGCAATGACATTTGTAGGGTTACTGAAGTTGGACTAGCTGGTATATAATGATGTGCTATGTGATCGCTTGCGACACAGCTATGTTAGCATAACATAAACACAGTGAAGCTGGAGGATGAATGCTAGCTTTTTTTCCACTCGATAAAAGTTAATGTGAGTGTTCCAGATGGTGAGGGACAAATGCAATCGCATGGCAGGATGCTGTAAACGGACCAAACTTCAGTCACAAGAACAACTGTGATAATCCATCCACAATATGAGGTTAGTCATTAATATACTGCAAAAACATGGGAATACAGCAGCTGCGAGAGAATTCAAATCAATGGTACAGAAGTGGAGGAAGCAATAAGAATGAGTCAAGTAAAATTTGATTGAGCTGACTGTTTTGTTTTGCTTAATGCGCCTTATAATCCGTGCACGTTATGTATGAAAACAGACCCGTTCATCGACAGTGCACCTTATGGTCCGAAAAATACGTTTTACAGTACCAAATCATAACAACACCTCAAGGTAGACCCTACAATAATACATGTTCAGTTCTTCCAAATGATCTCTGCCTGTTAAAATAGTTAGATCTGCCTGTAATTGCACTGAACCTCAAA